AAAAAAAAAACTGTTGGAAGAATGAGAGGAGTGAGAGAGAGATTACCCAAATATTGGTAATGGCAGGAAGCTTCTACATCAAGGCTGGAGGAACAGGTGTCACCCAGAGTGTCCAGGGATCACGGGACTGCTGAGGGTGCTCCTGGGAGAAACTTGCTGACTGAATAAGACCCAGATGTGAACCCCTGCTGATGACTGCTGTTACCACCACTAAAAACACCCCCAGATCCAGGAACTTTACTGCCTTCTAATTGATCAGTGCTTCCTACTGGCAGAAACAAATCGGAAGCCCACTGGTAAGGGCTCTAGCAAATGTAGTTTGCAGGCTTCCAGCCTCTCTGTGATCAGAGAGAAGCGACCTGCAACCAACAGACAATCAGGGCAAGCAGAAATATTCACACTCGGCTATGACATAACGTGGCATATGACGTAATGCCAGTTCATTGATACAAAGGCTGAGGCAAAGCATTTAGAGGATGACAGGCCTCAGAGCCAGGCAGACCCAGAGTGGATGGAGAGTAGGTAGATGATTGGGTGATAGATGGATGGGTAGATGAGTGAGTGGATAAGTAAGTGAGTGGATGGATGGAGTGTTAAAAGTAAAAGGTCCCTTGTCCTGGGGTCGAAGGTCATTAAACAGGGAGTCATCTGGGAGGTCTGGCTGGGTGAGATTCTATTGTTTTCTGAATTAGGGACCTGAGGGTGGAACCCAGGAGCTGAATAAACCCTTGAGAGGTTTATTCCTGAAAGTTGTCCTGATTCAGGAGGAAACTTGATGATGGGATCACACGTAGAGTGTGGAAAGACACCGAGACTGCAGGAATAAGCCTCCGCCTGGCCATTCTGGAATCTGGGAAAGCAGAGCCAGGGAGAACGAATGTTTCAGTGTTTCATCTGCCATCCAAGACAAAAAGTCCAACTGGGTAAGAAAAGCAGGTCATCTCATTTAAACTTCCCAACAAGCCATGAGGAGAGAACCTGCATCCCTTTCAGGGGGAGCTGCTGCCCTTTGGAGATACGATGCCATCTGCACCGTGCTCAGTGAGGGTGACCCGGGCAGATGGGGCTCTATCTTCCCAGGACCAGAGTTTAGGGGAAAGGGATGAGAAAGTACACACGTAGTAAGAAACTCTGTGACCAGACCGTTGGTGCACACACAGACGATGCACCCAGCCACAATGCGGAGAACCTTCTCTTGAAGAAGACACGTGGACTGCGGCCTGAAAGAGACATGTGGACTGGGGCCTGAAAGATGAGAGAGCTTTGCAAGGGGCACAGCCTGCAGGCCACATGGGATCCAGGCCTCACGGACTCTGGCCTCATCTCCCACTACCCTTCCCCTTTCTCACTCCACCCCAGCCACGCGGGCCTGCTGCTGCTGGTCCTCATACCTGCAAAGCTGTTCTCACTCAGAGGCTGCCCTCTGCCCAGAGCTCTCTTTCCCCAGATATGTTCATGGCTCGCTCTCTCACCTCCTTCAGTTCTGTGCCCAATGATCTCCTTCTGGATGAGGCCTTCCTTCTTAATTCTCCCCTACCCAACTTTTATATTTATTTTTATTTTTTATTTTTTTCTTTTTTTTTTCTTTTTGAGACGGAGTTTCGCTCTTGTTACCCAGGCTGGAGTGCAATGGCGCGATCTCGGCTCACCGCAACCTCCGCCTCCTGGGTTCAGGGAATTCTCCTGCCTCAGCCTCCCGAGTAGCTGGGATTACAAGCACGCGCCACCATGCCCAGCTAATTTTTTGTAGTTTTAGTAGAGACAGGGTTTCACCATGTTGACCAGGATGGTCTCGATCTCTTGACCTCGTGATCCACCCGCC